TTTTTTTTTTTACCATACTTTGTATAAAGATGATTCTCAACAGAATAATTTGCATAGCATAACTTATGAACGAAATATCGTTTTTTACATTTTTTTTTACATTTTTGTTTATGCTCTAAACAATGTAAAGACATGAAAAAAACTATTTTTTTCCTAAAAATCTTTTCTCGGGTCTTAAAAGGTTAATATGGAAAGTTACCCCAAAGGTATCAAAACACGTCAAGACTGAACATTTCATATTTCATTCATATACTTGAATAAGCCTTGGCTACGAATTCCTCATTTATATTAGCATATTCATAAATGAGTAAACATCATTTGCATAAGGTGCAACAGCCAATGACCATGAAGTCAGCTCCGCCCATCAGGAACGTGGAACTACTTCCTTCAGCAGGTGCGCTCGTGCTCCGGACAACTGCAAAACTTTGCGTAAAGACGCTTTAGTCTCGTGTTTTCTAGTTCTTAAAAACATTCTTCATTTCAGTTCATTTCACACGCCTGTTTACCGAGGTCGCGAGGACTTTCAACGATACCGGATTGATGTTTACTGACATGGTGTCCAAGTTGACATCGCTTCAGCAGGAGCTCCTGAGCGCCTTGTTGGACTCCGGGATCACTAAGGATGTGCTGGTCCAGGCGCTGGAGGATTTATGTCCGTGTCCTGCCGAATTCGGAATAAAAATGGAAAAACCCTTGTCCCCGGCTAGTGTCAACGGCGGCAGCGACTCCAATGATTCCAAGCCTGTGTTTCTGACTCTGACCAGCTCGCAGGGTAAAGCGGGCAAACTGTCCGGTGATGAAGGCTCGGATGACGGGGATGACTTCGACACGCCGCCGATCCTGCGGGAGCTGCAGTCTCTCAACACCGAGGAGGCCGCGGAGCAGCGCGCGGAGGTCGAGCGCATGCTATCGTGAGTTATTCAGATACAGATACTTGACTTTTCAGTTCATTAACTACATGGCGTCTTATTAAAATATTATATGCAGATAATTCAGGGCAACATGTTACATTACACAGTAGGCCTACATGTTATTTATTTTTTAAATTTCAGTAGCAGTAAAAAGAACCGTGCTCAACAATGAGCCGATCAATAAAATGTGACCCTGGAGCACAAAACCAGTCTTAAATCGCATTTGTAGCAATAGCCAAAAATACATTGTATGGGTCAACATTATTGATTTTTATTTTATACCAAAAATCATTAGGATATTAAGTAAAGATCATGTTCCACGAAGATATTTTGTACATTTCCTATTGTAAATATATTAAAACTTAATTTTTGAGTAGTAATATGCATTGCTAAGAACTTCATTTGGACAACTTTAAAGGAGATTTTCTCAATATTTTGATTTTTTTGCACCCTCAGATTCCAGATTTTCAAATAGTTGTATCTCGGCCAAATATTGTCCTATTATAACAAACCATACATCAATGGAAAGCTTATTTATTCAGCTTTCAGATTTATAAAAATTTCGAAAAATTGACCGTTATGACTGGTTTTGTGGTCCAGGGTCACAAATAGCAGTGTGCCTAGTTCTTATTTCTCAGTAGAAACTTAGCTAATTACACTGTAACAAACCCTAGCGCAAAGTTTGACCTAGTGCACTGAAACTATTCAGTTTTATCCTATTATTTATTTGTTTCAACTATGAACGTTTTACTTTTTGCATGTCAAAACATTTATAAAATGATTTGACAACCAATAGACTACCAAGAATTACTGTGATGTAGCCTAGTAGCTATATTATTTGATTATTATTTATTTTTTCCTTACTTCGGTATTATTTTAATAGGCCTATCGTTTTAATTAGTAGCTAAATTATGTAACTTTTTGTAAATTTGAGCAAAAATCGAAATGTTCCTGTTTAAAAGTATAAGAAGATTGACGTAAAGTCAAAACGAAACCACGTGTAGGCTAGTTGTTATTAATTTATTTCTATAAATCATCAACAGAAAGATACACAATGTCGTATGAATAGAGGGAACAGATATCTAGTTATTCATTGTCCAAAGTTATAGTCTTAAATCAACATCCTCGAGCACTCTGTAATGTGAGGGGTTATTTCCCCAAACAAACATTAGCAGACATTTTCCTTTTTCGTTTAAGCGTATTAAAACGACCACAAGCGTTTTACTTGTTGTAGGCTATATGCGGAGTGCTGGTCAAAATTTATTTCACAAATATAGCCCAATTAAGAGTTTTGTTAAGGCGATTTGTCGTCGTAGGCTTATATTTTAAATTATATAGCCAACAAATGTCGCGCATAATATTATAACATGACTATTTCTTAATTATTATATTGTTCTTCTATATACGCTTAGCCTATTAATCCCAAATGACTGTCGACTAGGCTAAGTATCGAGGGTGAAAGTCTCTTTTAGAAATTACATATTTTTTTAACCTTGAAGACTATTACTAATTAGACAGCATTAATTGTTAAATTGTTAAATACTTTTGGAATATATTGGATGCTATTTTTATTATTATTAAATGTCATTGCATGTCGATTATTAATTGTAGCCTATTTTATACGTTTGTACATTAATTATTTACATGTTTCGACATTTCAAAACATAAAGGCGTCATTTTACACGACCAAATGACATAAACACATAAAAATAATGCGTAGTTCCTTGTGAATGCTCATGATAGCATTGGGTGCTGTGTTTGGCAGTGAGGACCCGTGGCGCGTGGCGCGCACTGTCAAAGGCTACATGCAGCAGCACAATATTCCTCAGCGCGAGGTGGTGGACGTGACGGGGCTCAATCAGTCTCACCTGTCGCAGCACCTCAATAAAGGCACGCCGATGAAGACGACCAAACGAGCCGCGCTTTACACCTGGTATATCCAGAAACAGCGCGAAATCGAAAGACGTAAGTCAGCCTCCTAACATAATGTTCAAATCTTTACCATCTGTAACATAAGAACGTAGACGGGTTTTTGTAACGCTTTATAATAAGGTTCCATTTGTTAACATTAGTTAACTACGTTAGTTAACATGAAAGAACAATGAAAAATGCTTCTAAAACATTTAAAATTCTGAAAGTGAAAAATGAAATTCTTAGTTTAATTCTTATTCTTAGTTTCAGCATTTACCAATACATTAAAATTAAATAAAAAGTTGTATCTGTTAATATTATTTAATAGACCTCAGAATTAACAATAAACAGCTATTTTATTAAATGTAAACAACACTTAATAAATACTGAAACAAATGTATTGCTCATTGTTAGTTAATGTTAGTCAATGCGACCTTATTGTAAAGCGTTACCTTTTTTTTTCTTACAAGTATTTTGACATTTTTTTAGCCACGCTTCAAATTAATGAATCTCTTTGCATTATATAGCCTAACAAAAATATAATGCCAAGTGACATTTATTTATTTTAAAGCTCTGTTTATTTTTTTAATTATTTGTTTGCATCTGGTTTTAATATTTTGTTCTGCATATGTTGTTGTATATTTTATATGTGTGCGTGTGTATTTGCAAAACATGTTTCCTATTTTATTATATTACATTTAAAGTACACTATTATAAATTATTTGATAAATTATCCACCACATGTATTTATGTTTAATATTTTATTATATTACATTTGAAGCACACTATTATAAATTATTTGATTAATTATCCACCACATTTATTTAAATCTACATAAAATCAGTATTAAAAGTCTCTTTTGTGAATCCATTTTTATATCCTGTTGTTGTTTCTCAGACTTTGGTTGTATAGAACAGATGCCACTCAGAAAAAGTAAAACATACTTATTCATAAATGTGTAGACTGTTATTAGGAATATGTGTTAAATACTTACTCTGAATAGCCTACATTAATGAAGGACACTTTAATTTTTGCCCAGGTCAGTGTGTATCATGTGAGCTCTGCTCTGTAAGCCCCATTTTTGGATCCTTCTCAAAATTGCGCCTTCATTATGGACTTCCCCATCCAAACACTATCTATCATGATTCTGCCTTACTCTGCCCCAATCGTGTTCCCCTCTTATTTCCGCAGAGTTCGACCGTGTTCAGAGCTCTGACCTCAGTGACTCAGGCAGTCAGGATCAGGTCCTGTTTTTTTTCCCAGAATTCAATCATACCGGACTCAGTTCGGGGGCTGCGGGAGGTTCTGGAGGACCAATCGGAGATGAGGGGGAGCCAGGCTCTAAAAAGATGAGACGAAACCGCTTCAAATGGGGTCCAGCATCTCAGGAGATACTCTACCAGGCTTATGAACGACAGAAGAACCCCAGCAAAGAAGAAAGGGAAGCGCTGGTAGAGGAATGCAACAGGTAATGTTCTCTCTCTTGCCTTCTAGAGAGATGTTTCTTATTTTATTGTATTATATTATTTTTAGATGTATTATATCATATATGTATTGCGTTTTATTATATCAGTTCAATCACAAAAAATGATATCCTCTTGCACTTTAATAGGACAATTATTTATTTATACTTCATACATATATATTTTATTACAAAGTGTTAATACATTTGTTAATACATTAATTACATTTGTTTCTTATTTTCTTTTGTATTTAGATGTCTTAAATGCATTAAAATAAAAATGGAATGTACAAATACTAGTTCCTTATTTTATGCGTTGCTTTCAGGGCAGAGTGTGTTCAGAGGGGTGTGTCGCCCTCTAAAGCTCATGGACTTGGATCTAACCTGGTCACAGAGGTGCGTGTGTACAACTGGTTTGCTAATCGGCGTAAGGAGGAAGCCTTCAGACAGAAGTTGGCTATGGATACGTATCCAACGCACAGCATGAACCCCCTGTTTTCCCATCCATCATCACATACCCAGCACCATCTCAGCAGCTCAGATTCAAGTAAGATTTCACTGTTGTGCAAATACTCACAGGCTCTGTTTACACTTGATATTAAAGGGGTCATATGATGCGATTTCAAGTTTTCCTTTCTCTTTGGTGTGTTACAAGCTGTTCGTGAATAGATAAGATCCCTAAAGTTGCAAAGACTAAAGTCTCAAATCCAAAGAGATATTCTTTATAAAAGTTAAGACTGGTCTACACCCTCCTAAAACGCCTCGTTTAAACACGCCCCCACATGTCTACGTCACGATGTGGGAAGATTTGCATAACACCGTCCAAATGTTCACGCAGAGAAAGAAGGCGTAACTTTATTGTTGCTGCCAACACCATGTTGTGAAGACGCTGTGTGTTTCGTTGTGAAAGCGAAACTACTTTGGATGATCTGATGTCTACCAAGTATTATTTAAATACTATCATAGTTTTTATTAATATTTCAAATCAGCTTTTATTTTTGTATTTTCAGTTTTGTTTTAATTTTAGTTTAATTTAATCATTTTGATATGTATTTTTGTCATTTTTATAATTTTTTTTACATATTACTATGTAGGTTTAATTTATTTTTATTTCAGTTTTAGTTTTATTTTATTTCCAGTTAGTAATTTTAGTGCTTAAACTACATTTCTGTTAATTGACAAGACAACATTTATAATTTTTGTTTAGTTTAATTTCTTAAACTAAGAAATTACAGTTTATTATACATTACTGCAGCTTTATTTCAACTAACAAAAATGTTTTTAATAGTTTTAGTTACTGGTAATTACAGCCGCCAAAATTAACCATTTTGAGTCTTACTATCAGGTGTAAACATGGTCACAGATGCAGTGTGTGTGTTTTATTGGAATTCCTCCGTTCCATTAGTGTGTGAACAAAACACACAACCGCACCCGCAGACACATGTGATACAGAAGGACATAAAATCGCTTACCGCAATCTTTAGGTCAAGTCAAGGTTCAAGCTTTGTGTCTGGGAGGGTGTGCAGCACACATTCTCTCCCTCAGAAGATCGATAGCTGGTTGGAAAAAAGTATTTTAAACCCAGAAGGATCATGCAATAGCTTAAAATGATCATATAATAAAATCAAAATGCTTCAGCTTAACTTTTGACAACTACAAAAGGACACTGTTCTGTTGAAAAGCTGTAAACTGTCAGCCTGTGAAATGGACCGAATTCCGCAGAATGTTTGCGATTGGAATAATATTACGTCAAGAGAGTGAGTCAGAGAACAGCGTGTTTGCTCAACCTGTGTGTTCTGCTACAGTCACTGACCTCCAACTGTTCAAAAGCTCTTTGATTGTATTTGTTTGCCCAGAGCAAGAAAAGGCACAACATTTAGCATAATCCGTTTTGAGATATGTTTATGAGAATGCATTTAAGGAATAGACGGTCTGATAAAGGCCTTTCACTGTTTGGACTGCAGACTCTTATCATTTTAGCTGCATTTTTACAGCTACACGAGGTCAAATAAAGATAGACAGAATCAGGTCAGTATGTGCGAATAGCATTTTTATTTTCTTGCCGTTTTCAGCGTGACAGAACAACAAAATGAACATTTTTTTTGTTGTGAAAGCATTAAATGTGCACAGCAATACAGTTAAAAAATATGTTTCTTATGTTTTTTAATGCAGAACTCAGGTACAGTCAACAAGGAACCAGTGAGGTCACTTCCTCGACGACCATCAGTCACCATGGCAGCAGCCAGTCAGTATTGCAACAGGTGTCTCCGGGTAGTCTGGACCCCTGCCACGGCTTGCTATCGACGGATGCCAAAATGGTAAAGCAAAATCTGTTTTAGTGTCCAGATTATTGTGCAGTCACAATGCACGCTTTGACAAGTACGGGTCTACCAGCCCTTTTTTCGACCCGAAAGTATGCATGTAGTCGCAGAGATCAATGTACATTTTACAGACATGATTGATAAAGTCGCCTTTATTTGAAAACTGACTCAACTAGGTCAAAGAGAGCATTGATCTAGCATGTGCAGGCAGTGCGTTTGTTCACTTTTATGGCTGGTGTGAATTGGCCCCCCCAATAAACATTTGTTATGTTAGTGCGTACTCACAGTCCAAAACAACGTTTTGCACCAGAGCAAAGAATCATGCTCTAACTTGCAAAGTGTTTGTGTACCTTATATGTATTTACATTGTGTGTATGCATGTATGTGTGTGTGTGTGTGTGTCCAGATCTCAGTCTCTGGTGGAGTTTTGCCTCCTGTGAGCACTTTGACCAACATTCATAGTCTGTCTCAGTCATCTCATCATCATCATCATCATCATCATCAGCAAGCACAGAGCCTCATTATGAGCCTGGCTGCTCAAAGTGAGTGTATCACCATTTTATTTCATCCTTCTTCATATCTTACATCATTTTGGTTCTTAAACTGTGGTATGTATGTACACTGTAAAAAAAAAAAAAAACCTGTTAAATTTACAGTAAAGAAACGGCAGCTGTAAAAAATATGGTGACAGTGTTTCAGGTATTACAACATAGGTGCCAACTTATAACGATATATATTATTTAGTGATGTAATGTTAATACCAAAATCTTTTTTTTTTTATCTGTACTGTTAAATGTACTGATAACCACTATAATAATAACAGTGGCAACACAGAAAGCCATATGATAAATCATCATGTGTTCATCATAACCATAAAACATAAAACCATGATGCACAGGATCATAGACACAAAAACATCATCAGGGAAACATACATGTCACTAAAATAATGTAATATACATTAAGTAAATCACAGAAAATGTAACAAAAAAAAAAAAGAGAAGAAACAACATTATTTATATAAAATATAATCGTATGTGATCTGTCATGCAGGGACTTCTGGGAATGTCCTTTTACTGTTTTATTTGTTTTTTAATTTTTTACTGTAAATACAGTCATTCATAGTTTTTACTTGCAAATTTACCATGCACCCAAAATGCACAATTTACCATTTTACATAGTAATATGGTAAGGTAAGGTAACAGGTTTTACTGTATCTTTTTTACAGTTGATTACAATATTAATTTATCCTTACCCTACACTGTCAAAATGTCCTCATTCATTTTTTCTAAATAGTTATTAAATAGAGTTGCAAAAAACAATTCAAACAATTTCCCCAAACACACACTCCTCCTCCTCCCATTAGTCAGTCAAACAGACAGCCCCGCCCCCAAGCTGGGTTTGGTTGAGCCACTATTGATGTGCTAGTTGGGATTCTCAAACAAACAATGTTTTGATAGCAGAATTAATAGTTTGGTAAGCATCTTGGTGATCTAGTTAGATCTTATAAACATGTTTAGAGCCAGCTACCTGAATGATAACACATCTGGTTTAATGACAGGAGTTTAAAGGTCACTCTGTCGCCCCCTTGAGTTCTGAGGTGTGTGACCGCCACAGTAATGCAAGAACACGTTTTTATGCATTGGTCACGCATTTGAGTTCATGTTTGTACACTTGCATAATCCAGTAAACAGACATCAGGCAGTCATAAACAGAGTTCATTTACAGGTTCATTTTTAAGTCTTAAATGTACAATAGCAAAATCATCCTGTGTTTAAGCATTCAAATTATCATGGAAAACTATAATGTGACTGTTTTGGTGCAAAAAGAACATTATAAATGGACTTAAAATGCTGAAAAGTGTAGGTTGTGGCCCCCTATTTTATTTTATTTTTTTATACTAATTTTATTTATTTATTTTTATTGCAACATATAAATTGTTACAGAAACCCTCCCAAATACACACACACACACACACACACATGTATATATACATATATATATATATATACACACACAGTGGAGATCAAAATTAGAGAACAATCTATAAATACTTGATTTTTTCTGAAATATTGTTAATCTTCATCGCTCAAAATTTAAAGGAATATTAGCTGTAGGTAATATTAGAATAGTAGAATAGTAACCACTATTCTACGAACATGTTTGACAAAATGTCCAAGGCATTTTGACAAAAACCTTTATTTTGTGGAAAACACAGTGATCAAAATGAGAGAACAGTAACCACTGTAGCACGAAAGAATATTACAACTAAAATTCTGGAGGGTTACAGCTGTCAGAAATGAGTAGGAAGTGTAGAGGCCCTTGCTTTGAATGACTTCAGCACATCTGCGGTCGCAGGATATCACTAGTTTCTCACACTGCTCTTGTGTGGTCTTGGTCCACTCTTCTTCCAGTCTCTTCCATAGTTCGGTAACTGTAGTGGGTTTCTTAGCCATAACTTTGTTGCCAAGGATTTTCAATCAGGTTTAGATCAGGACTCTGGACCAGCCATTTCATTATTTCAATGTTCTTGGCTTCAAGGAACTGCTTTACCCGATTTGCAGTGTGACGAGGGCATTGACTTGCATAAAAATTGCAGGCTGATTGGGAGATGCTTGCAGCGAAGGAACCACATGTTGCTGAAGGAGGTTCTGATAAACATTTGCATTCAGCCTGCCATGTAGCTGTATAAGAGGCTCAACTCCTGCTGCACAAAACATGACACATCTTCCTCCACCTTTCACTGACTTCTTTACACACTTTGGCTTCAGTCTTTCCCCAGTTTGACGCTAAACAAATGTTTCCCATCAGACCCAAATAAATTAAACTTGCTCTCATCACTAAAGTCGACTTCTAAACGTGCAGAGACAGATCCTTACCCTGTTCAGCAATGAACTGGCGAGCAATTCCATCTGTAGTGTTTAACCGATTCCCCATTTAGAGTCTCCGCATTATTCTGTCCTCTCGTGCATTTGTCTTATGTGGGACTTGAGTTAGTGTCATTGTAAAGCTGCAATATTCTAGAAATCACAGATTTGGAATGACCAACTTCTCTTGCAGTGGCTGAAAGGGTCATCTTTTTGGCCTTCATCTGGACCGCCTCCTGTCGCAGGCTTTCAGTCAACTTAAGAGCAGCCCGCCATCTTTGCAATCTCAGTGAAAATTGGAGGAATGCTGCCAGTTAAATAGAGTTTGTCATATAATTAATTAAGGAAATTAGCACCATGTGCCAGATTAACACCAATGACTTGGAGGTATCTGTAAGTGTTCTCTAATTTTGATCAGAGTTATTTTTCAAATATCTAATTTAAGTTTTTTTTAAGTTCTGCAAAATGTTAATTATTTTACCAAAATAAGAGGGATCATACAAAATGCATGTTGTTTTTTATTTAGTACTGACCTGAATAAAATATTTCACATAAAAGACGTTTACATATAGTCCACAAGAGAAAATAATAGTTGAATTTATAAAAATGACTCAGTTTAAAAGTTTACATATTCTTGATTCTTAATACGGTGTTGTTACCTGAATGATCCACAACTTTTTGTATCGTTATTTATTTAAAAAAAAAAAATTTTGTGATAGTTGTTCATGAGTCCCTTGTTTGTCCTGAACAGTTAAACTGCCCGCTGCTCTTCAGAAAAATCCTTCAGGTCCCACAAATTCTATGGTTTTCCAGCATCTTTTGCATATTTGAACCCTTTCCAGTGACTCTATAATTTCACAATTATAATTGTGAAAGGACAATTGAGGGACTTACATGCAACTATTACAAAAGGTTCAAACGCTCACTGATGCTCCAGAAGGAAACATAATGCATCAAGAGCCTGGAGGTGAAAAATACTAAGGAAAGAAATGCTTTTTCTTGATGGGAAAATTCTGTTTAATCAGTTTGCAAACATTTAGTCTAGTTTAGTTAACTATAATAATCCATCCTGATGTATATGTCATTTAAATAATATATTAAGTATAGTATCTATAAAGGATTATTATTATTTTAGTTATTGTAGAACACTTTGACCCGAAAAGTTATGACTTTAACAGTGTTAATGTTTTTCCAGGTCTGACGTCTCCTCAGTCTCAGAGTGTGCCTGTCATCAACAGCGTGTCTGGACTCACAACCCTGCATCCCATGCAGTTCCCTCAGAGCACCAGCCTGACACAGCTGACCACAGCTCACATCTCCCAGCAGCCCTTCACACAGTCACACAGTAAATACAATCGCTTCTCATCTTATGACAGCAGAAAACATTGTGATTCTGAATAACGATGTGCAAAACTCACATTTTGCTTGTCTTTTTCAGTGTACTCTCCCAAACAAGAAGTTGGCCAGTTTTCCCATCCATCTCGATACGCGACCATGGACACCAGCACCATCACACACCTGGGCTCCAGCAAGCAGGTCAAACTTCAGTTTCCTGTACTTTTTATCCACCTCATGTTTGGCCATTTGTAACTTGAATGCACGAGGCTTCCGGTGTCATTCGCTTCCAGTTATTTTAGCTGTACAAAAACACTGCTTGATATTGCAAACTGGTATTTGTTATGTTATTTTTGACATATTATCGTAATCATAAACGCTTGTGTTTAGCACAAATAGTTTTACCGTTTACTGCCGTTATTCTTCTAGTTATTAACTACAGCAGCTAATGAATCGGAAGTCTTGCACATTCACAGAAAATGGAAAATAAGGTGGATAGATTTTTATACAGATATTTCTCTCTATATACATAAACTGTGCATATCCGTATTGGTCATTAAGATGTATAATTGTTACTCTCTGTTGTCGCTGCAGTGTCCTTTGCAGGCCTGGTGAACAAATGCACCGCAGCGAGAACTTCCTCGGCAGCTTAGCAACAGCAGTGCATGATATCTGCGTTTCTCGGTTACTTTGGTAACCTGTCAGCATGGAGAACCAACAAGAACAGCATCGCCTCTGGATTCTGCATCAAATGAAGACTAGTGATTGGTATATTATGCCTTTAAGCCATAATGGATGACAGAACAAAATGGCAGAACTTGCTAAGACGATTAAATACTGAGCCGAAACTTTCACACCCATTGGTTTTAGGTGATGAAACCTTCAGTGATACTGTACATACAATTTAATAAGAAAATATGGATTGTTGTAAAATAAGGTCAACTTTTCAGGCAAGACAACAGAAAAAAAAAAGTCAGTCGTTTCACAGATACATTATTTTTTTTCATACACACATTTGAGATTTGAAATGTATCCCATATTCTAAAAGAAAATCATCACATTACCGTGTAAATTCACGTTTTTTTTCCCCAATATCAAAATGGTCTTTCCATTTCAATGCATGGACTTGCACATAAAAGTGATCCCAAAAGATGCTATAAATATAATTGCTTCTCAGGGATTGATTTCACACTACTCCATCGTACTCCACTGTAGAATATATATAAAGGCTTTGCTGTTTTTTATATGTTTTGGAATCACCTCAATCATATTTATATATGTGTAAATTGATAAATAATACATTTTTGAAGAATATCTTTTGGCTCTGGTGCTCATTTTTATTAATTAATGAGACATTTGATTAATTATTAATTATTTATTGCAGCAAAAAGGTTTGTCCGGTAATGTACTATGGCAGAAAGTAGGACCACACTTTGCATTGTAAATGTTTTCACACACTAATGGAAACTCAGGGGTGTGAAGGAGAGGTAGAGACTGAGATGGGCAATAAAAGGGTGTGTTTTTGTTTCCCATGCCCCATTAGGTCTATTTCCCTTGTTGTCTCACTGTTCAAAGGGCATGCATGTAGCATCTGAGTTCACCTTTAGGAAGTGAACAGGTGAAGTCATTTCCTTGGCTCTTCTCACATGACTTCTCTAGCATGTGATAACAGTGTTTTCCATGGAAACTAAATTACCTAAACCAAGACCCTGGGGATTAATTAGTGGATGACTACATAAGTAAACTGTACCAGTCTTTGACACTGAAGAAAACCACTACTGATTTATTTTCTTAATTGAAATGGCAGTGGATCTAAATGTTTACAAAGTCTATAGTTCAGAAAATAATAGGAAAATATGCAACATTTAGCACATGCAGCATTGGGTCGCTCCTTGTGCAAAGTAAAGATAAAGAATTGTTTGTTGCCCAAAACAAAAAGTTATTACATTTGAGATTGTTTGCTTTATGTAGGCAATTCAGTTATGCTATTGTTGTTACAGAAGAAGATGACCATTGCAAATACTGTGGGGTTCTCTGTTTGTTTGTTTAAAGGGGTCATATGATGCTGCTAAAAAGAACATTATTTTGTGTATTTGGTGTAATGAAATGTGTTTATGCGGTTTAAAGTTAAAAAAACACATTATTTTCCACATACTGTACATTATTGTTTATCCTCTACTTTACAGATGTTCTTTATGCACCAAGAGCTTGTAACACTCCAAAGAGAAAGGAAAAATTTAAATCGCATCATATGACCCCTTTAAAGAAATGAACACTTTTATTCAGCAGGGATGCATTAAATTGATAAAAAAGTTACAGTAAAGACTTTTACATGCTGTATTTTGAACTTTCTATTTATAAAAGAATCCTCAAAAATGCTAAGCTGCACAACTGTTTTCAACACTGATAATAATGAATGTTTCTTGAGGACCAAATCAGCATATTAGAATAATTTCAGAAGGAAATTAAATAGAAGGAATTAAAATAGCTTACAATTACTATCCTTACATGTTCAGAAAAGCGTTGAGACTAAGATGTTCCTGAAGTCCTTCATTTAACAATGGTGCCTTTATTAGTGAAAGTACATTGATCTCAACAACAAACATATCATTAGTAACAAGCTAAAGCTTTCCATCACATTTTTTCTGCAGATCCATATCATCCTAAGTTTCTGAACTAGTCTGTGTATGAACTGAATCCACTGTATTGTAATTGTAACACGTTAGCATTTAGCATAATAGTTTCTCCTGTAAAGTCCAGAAGAGGCAGCAGAGGACACATGCTGGGATGAGGACAATGTGGAGGCGTGGAGCAGTGAATGTGCAGACATGCCCTTCAGGACAGGTCGGCAGAAGAGATCTTAGGTCAGCTACAGCTGGACACTCACTGGGGTCAAAGGTCAGAAAGACAGGAGACGGAAAAGCTGACTTTACTCCTGTAATCCTCCGTGCACTTCCCACACTGCCATAGCTTAGTGTTAAAGGAATGTTCAGGATTCAAAACAAGTTGCTTTATCAACAGATTATCCAAGACATTCTGGAGAGTTTAAAAGCAGAACTGTAACATTTGTGGGTTTGTTGTGACACTATTGTTCTTCTTCTGTACAACAATGTGCTTTGTTTGAGCTGTAAAGATTCAATGGTCCCTTATGATTCTATTGTTCTAATGAACTTTTGGTAATGCACGACCAGCATATCCCTTGTGAGAGTAGATCTCTCTATGTAAACAGACCTTTTCTTGTATTTTTTTAGGTCTCAATATTATGTGGCATTTAACATAGTTCTGAATTAGATTTTTTTTTAACTTGAATATTAAACATTTGGAATTTAACACAACTGAATATTTTTATGGCAGAGTTTTATAGACATTTATTTTGAAACAGCGAATTTTTTTTGTTCTGAAATCTTAGACTGCAAATATCCAGTTTTTAAAAATACAGCTTTTAAGTTCTTTCCGCAGATCAAAATTTGATCCATGTCATACAGTAAGCGCGATAATTCTCCCACACTCCTAAACACCTGAAATGAGCCTATATAGCGATTTTATTATTCATATAAAAAATAATCTATTCTGGATGCCGTTACAGAGGACTACAAGACTACAGAGGCACACTGTATGAACCTACAATCCTATCTTATATAATATATTTGGCCACAGCCATATCACCCTGCAGCCCAAGACTGGTCGCCCACTGAAGCTAAGCAGGGTTGAGCCTGGTCAGTAACTGGATGGGAGACCTCCTGGGAAAACTAGGTTGCTGCTGGAAGAGGTGTTAGTGAGGCCAGCAGGGGGTGCTCACCCTGTGGTCTGTGTGGGTCCTAACGCCCCAGTATAGTGATGGGGACACTATACTGACAAAAAGCACCGTCAAAATATTAAGCAGCACAATTTTTTAACACAGATTATAAGTAAGAAATATTGTAAGACATAATAAGAAAATTGTTTGTTGAGCAGAAAATCAGCATATTAGAATGAGTTCTGAAGAATCATGTGACACTGAACACTAGAGTAATGATGCTGAAAATTCAGCTTTGCTATCAGAAATTTATGACATTTTAAAATATATTCAAGTTGACAACAGCTATTTCAAATTATATATAATTATGTTAAATTTAAAATTTAATAACATTTCACAATAATACTGTTTCCTATATATTTGATCAAATAAATGTAGCCTTGGTGAGCATAAGAGAAAAACATTGCAGAATCAAGTACAGACCCCGAGCGGTATACGGAGCTTATACTATGACAAAACAAATTGAATTTGCATTGTGTACGTTTGAATTATTGACAAGTGTCATTTAACAAAACTGAATATTATGTGGCATTTAACATAGTTCTGAATTAGATTTTTTTTTAACTTGAATATTAAACATTTGGAATTTAACACAACTGAATATTTTTATGGCAGAGTTTTATAGACATTTATTTTGAAACAGCGAATTTTTTTTGTTCTGAAATCTTAGACTGCAAATATCCAGTTTTTAAAAATACAGCTTCGAGTTTTCAAGATGACGAGGAAATTCGGAACATCAAATTCAAAATTCAGATCGTAGTGAAAGTAGGTCAGAGGTAATCCACAGGGAAGAGTAGATGATCTCCGAAAAGTCAAACGAAGCATTTTGGCCAATTAGTAGTTTTCTGGCGTGAGCGTGTGGTTTAAGATCTACCTCATCATGAATCGCCCAGAGGTAGCCTAAGTGATTCTTAAACATTTTTGATTTATATACGTATATGTTAGGTCAGCAATTAGCATTCTCAGCATGTGAAACATTTGTCTAAGCCAGTGGTTCTATGAACCTACAATCCTATCTTATATAATATATTTGGCCACAGCCATATCACCCTGCAGCCCAAGACTGGTCGCCCACTGAAGCTAAGCAGGGTTGAGCC